GTCAAATTTTAAAAGTAAATAGTTATATTATTTGCTGTATGTATCTCCAGTTACAAAGCTTTAAATTAATAAATTATGTCATCTTTCGCTTTGGGTACAATTCAATCAAAAATAATATCCACACAATATATCCATATCTACCCACCATAGATAATAATATGGTATTAATTGTAACGAACTTGTAAATAAAAGAGCTGTATTTTATCTATACATAAAAATAAATAAAATTGGACGTGTATGTTTGTAATGTCAAAATTATAGGTTTTTTTCATGCTCACGCGGTTATTTGCACGATACCTATGCCTAAAAAACAGTTTATTTATTTTTTGTCTGTCTGTCTGTTTGTTTCGGATAAATTTCTAAACGGCTGCACCGATTTTAATAATATTTTACTACCAGGTAACTCTTCGTTCGTAATTTTGCTCGGTCCGGGAATCGAACCCACTCAGGCAGCGTATTGCAAATTCCACGCGAACGAAGTTGCGGGTACCAGCCAGTTGTACATAATATATAAAATAATATGTCAACATTAATATCTTAATCTTCAAATGAAAGAAACATCGACTAATCTTAACATCTCCCATCCCTATTAGGAGAAGGGCCGGCGTCATCTGGCGTCGGCATATTGTCGCCACCCTTCACGCCGAGGGTACCAAGCCGCTCTGGGGTAGGCAGGGATACTCCTAAGTGGGGGACGGTCAGTAGATTACAAATCTTCTAGTCCTCATCTTTACGGTGCTCTGATTTTGTTGATTTGAATTTATATATTGACTTGGTAGATGTCGTCCACAGATAAGTATTTATAAACTAGCTAGCTGTGCTCTGGCACATTGTAGTTGCATCAGTGATATTTTAAGGAAGATACGCTATATCGTACGTATAAGTGTCGTTACTAACAATACTAATTTAGACGTTAAGTACTTTTTGTTTCTAACCCATTACTAAACGACCTATGGACTGTATATGTCTGAAATAAATAATAATAATTATTATTATTATTAGTATTATATTCATTCTGTGCGCACAAAATATTTATTCCGTAACACTATACATACATCTGCTCGTATTAATGCACTTTAGAACGAAACATACACTTTCCTGTGGTATGATGTTTATTTACCTTTATTTACCTTTTTATCGTAATTTGTTCAATTTCGGAATACACAAGAATATATAAAAAATATATCATCACATCATCAGTCTTTAATAGTCCACTGCTGGACATAGGCCTCTTCTGAGAAAGGAGGTTTTGGCCTACTGTACCACGCTGGCCAGAGGGGATGGTATAGGGTATGTTTCAAGTTTTACTTTTCTTTGCAGTGCTGTTGTTTTGCGTATTTTGCTTCCTTAGTCGGCTCTTACGGTACCCACGGGATTAATAGGGGGGGTGACACTCCGTATTCTTAATCCGTCACCACACGGATACTATTAGCGGATATATGCGAATAATGATACTATTTTAAAATTAATCATTCTGTATTACTTGTAATACTTACGTTATAATATTAATTTTTATCAATAAAACACCATGAAAATTGATAATCATTACGTACCATCTGCTACACAAAGATACTTTTAATAAAAAATCGTAAAGATTTTTAACGATTCAATACTGACAATGATGTTAGCGCGCGCAAAAAATCGGCCATATTTAAAAGTTTGACAAATGATTCGAATTTTGAATCGCGCTCGAACATCGATCAATTTGATTGGATACGGTCAATCAACGGTGCCAATTTGTCATCGATGAAGATATTTGTTTTTTGAAACTTTATGGTACAATTTTTTTTACTAAACGTCAGACCGTTTATTCTTACGGTGAATTTGTCTGAGTGGTATTATTCATTGTGCAACAGTTATTACAAACGTTTGTGTGTAAGAAAATATTTAGATAAATAAACTAATTATCATTACCGCATTTTGAAATTTAATTTAAAATAAATTCTCAAAAATCTTAAAATCCTAATGAAAACTTAGCCATTGAGTATTCTCGGTATTTGCGGTACGTGTCAGTCAAAAAAATATCGGTATCTATGCTTAAGATTTCTCACTTGGCCTCCTTTGGTCTTTCAGTTATCACCAAAGAGTTTTGCCATCCACTTCCTACCTCGATACGACAAAGTCTAAGTCTTAGTTCGATACGTCAAAATTAAAAGGTTAATTTGATTTCCAAAATTCGTTTAGGTACTTACTGTCCCTCAGCCTGAAGTCTACAGGAGAAATTACAGATAATAACACCAAGAAAATAAGATTATTTACATATGTAGTTTATTAGTTCTTTACTTTCTAGAAAGATCGGGACGCCATGCCTTTATGTCAATACACTTTATCATCTGTCGTGTAGAATATGACAGACTAACAATTTAAGCATCGAAATACTCTTCTAAAAAATTCATTTCCTGCCGTCATATACGATTATTATTTATCAACAATCTTTAATAGTCCACTGCTGGACATAGGCCTCTCCTTAGAAAAGAGGTTTAGGCCTTAGGTCTTCTATACATCGCTGACCAGACGGGTTAATATGGGAGTTGATTCAAGTTATCTTTCTCTTTGCAGCGCTGTTCAGTAGTCCTGCGTAGTTTCCTCTAATTATCAGCTCTTACGACACCCACGGGATGAATAGAGGTGGTGACACTCCGTATTCTTAATCCGTCATCATGCAGACCGACTATTACCGCTTTTTTTGTATTTATATTTTTCATTTTACCATTCAATGTGTATAATAATACAATTATTGCATATTGGACAATGAGCAACAAGGTGATTGATCAAGGCGTATGGGTGTCAGTTTCGGTTGAACTATTGAACCAGACCATCGATTCATTAGTGACATATCATTCCCCGATTACATCATATTTTAGAGGAAACATTCTAGGAGCTTTCGTAGCATTTATGGTCCCTGCTTCCTCTTTGCTATGCGTAGGTTGATTAAAAAAACTACAAGTATATTGTTAAATCTGTAAAAAACATAAAAACTGGCCTGTTGGTCTAGTGGTTAGTGACCCTGACTGCTACGCCAGAGGTCGTGGGTTCTATTCCCACCCAGAACAAATAATTGTGTGATGAGCACGGTCATTTTTTCTGTGTCTGGGTGTACTTTATCTATAATATGTATGTATTTAGAAATATTTAAGTATGTTTATCAGCGGTTTGGTCACCATAGTACAGGCTCTGCCTAGTTTGGGATCAGACCGCCGTGTGTGAGATGTGTGTGAAATATTATTTATTTATGAGCCTAAACGCAATTAGTGAAAAAAGTATGACCTCAATTCGGGTGTACTTATTATTTTGTATTTTCTCGATATATTCGATAGTAGTGAACAGACATTATAGTTTTTGTTTTTTTAATATTGCTTATAGAGAGAGAGAGAGATAAGAGAGAGAGAGAGAGCTATAAGCAATCTAACGATATATCGTGGTCACTCATCATAAACCATAAAACTTAAAAATTCAACTCCTAAGATGGCTAGCTAATACCTGATGAAAGTTTTAACAGACATGATTAGGACTTATGTACTTTGTATGTTTACCGTGGTCAGTTAACGATTTTGTGTTCATTCTTCTTTATCTATACAAATAAATAAACAGCTAGCAAAAATATCCTCATGAAATCGTCACCCAAACTTTATTGTATTTATTATATTCCGTATGTATAATATATTAATAGTTATCTATGTATCCGTCTGTCTATTTTAAATAGTATTATCAAATGAATGTTCTATTTTCATAGCTTCTCTTCTTATTACATAATACATGTGCACCTGCCATGTCCCTTACTGAACCAGGAAGTGTAAAAATAAAAAATAAATAAAATTGGAGTGCCTGTTTGTAATATTAAAATAACCGCTTTTTACTAAATGCATATGTATGTTTACACGGTACATATGCCAAAATAACATTTTTTACAATTTTTGTCTGTCTCTATGTCTGTCTGTTTGTTCCGGATAATCTCTGGAACGGGTGGACCGATTTCGACGGGACTTTCACTGGCAGATAGCTGATGACATAAGGAGTAACTTAGGCTACTTTTTTTAGACTAGCTTCGCCCCGCGGCGTTGCCCGCGGTTATAACAACAATCGTGGGTAACACCGCGGGTCTCAGCTAGTTTACAACTAAAACTGGCTTGAATCCCTTTGTTTGGTTCACACTACAACAAAATAAAACAAAACTGCAGCAATGTCAAAAATATTAAAAAGCGTGCACAAAAATATATCGTACGATATAAAAAAATACAAACCGCGCGCGGTCAAACGTCATTCTTTTTTTTCTCTAAACAGCGAGCGCAGGCAAAGGAATACACCCGCGTACAGCCACGCCTCCAACCATCAATAACTTGCCATGTCAAACACAATGCACCGTTACTCGCTATTTATTCCGTAAAACTGTTAGAATTCTACCGAAAATAATAAAACGATTCTTAACCGAACGATTTTTTGACGATAAATGAGAAATCGATTTGCGGAAAAAACTGTTAATGGTTCACGCCCTTTTTATGAATTATAATTTTGACGATTATTGCAAGCTTTTTTTGAAAGCATTGTGCAATTGTGATATTTTTTTGTGAATGAATGAATGATTGTTATTGATATTAGAGCCATTTTGAATCCTTTTTCTATTTTTTGTAACAGACACTTTGATAACTAGTTAGCGACGTTTAATTTACAGTAGGTTCAGAGTGTCAAAGTCCTTGTTATGGCTTTTTCTTAATTATTTAGCCAAGTATCTAACTTTAAGTTGTTTCGAGTTCCTTTGTTCACAAAATGGATGGAGTGTATTTTTTTAACTATATACAATTCATTTTCCAACAAATTTAATCTTATTACTTTTAACAAGTGGATCATAACTTTAACATAAATACTTAGGTATTTATTCACATATTAAAAATCAACTGTATTGTCAGAGCCATTAAAAATAGCCCATCTCTTTTCTGTCAAATACAAACCCATAAACAATTTATTTTATTTAACAGGTCAAGATATGGTTCCAAAATCGTCGAATGAAATGGCGGAACTCAAAGGAAAGGGAACTACTAGCTTCAGGTGGATCCCGGGAGCAGACACTACCCAATAAGAACAATCCGCATCCAGATCTATCGGATGCCGAAGCTGACAAACCAAAAATGTCACCACTGTCGCCGCTGAATGAAGACCAACATGAAGATATTAAGAAGCCTTATGCAACTACGTCAAATGAATTTAGAGGTATATTATTAACAACAATAACTTTTTTATGAGAGAGCAATTTTTTTCCGTGTGGTATTCCCATTGAACCTTCCAGCTAAGCTAAATTGCTTGTGTTAGGAGTGGGTTCAAACTCAAACTCAAACTCAAACTTTCTTTATTTCATAAAATTTCCAAAATTGTTTGAAATCGTCTTCCATGTAGACTCTAAAGTTATAGATCAACACACACAAAAGCAACAATCTCTGTTTTGTCAAATAGTAACCAAATAAATTTAACAAAAATCAAACCCATACAAAATCTATGATATGCCTGTGCCGATCTACAACCGCCCATTTCCAAGGGGTTGAGCCTTATGAAAAGAAAGGGCAAACAAACTCATAGCCACTCTTTTGCAATTCACAAGTAGATACAATGGCACTTATTAAATATATCACAACATTGTTTTGATGTGTGCTAGTATGTCCGTTATTAAGGACTTAAACGTGAAAAAACAACGAAGAGAAAACAAGATTAAGAAGAAAAACGAATACAAGAGAAAATGAAGTGAAACATAAAAAATAGAAAAAATAATAATAATAAATTCACGTCGGTAGTGTACTGTGACCAGTACACTATCGACGTGAGCCCACGACCCTTTTGATCTCAAATCCAATACGCAAGCCTCAACCACTAGGCTACCGCCGCTTTGAATTTTTGGCAGATCATGTAAATTTGAAACTATTTTTCGTTTAGTGGTGCCAAAAATGTATTTACACAATCCATCACATCGATAAAGGTTTATTTTTTATTTGAAAATTAAATAACAAAAACAATTTTTAGGTTATGAAGACAAAATGGCAGGCGGCGTGTTTTCCCGCGAAATGGCGTTCAACAACATGGAAGACGACGACTATGAAAGTGACGCCAGCGCCAGTGATGAAGAAATTAATGTAACATGACGTGTTTTTGTAAAATGTAGTTCCATTTGTATTATATAATTTGTATATTTTATTAGGATTATGCGTGATTTGGGCTAAGGCAGTTGGATATTGAAGCCGAACGGTTTAAATTTAGACCAAAACACACCAAAGTACTTGACTCTGAAATCCGGCGTTCAGAAACTAGACATCTTTATGAGAAATATAACTAGAAACAAGCAGGTCATCAGTTTACATCCGGCTCAAAGGACCATGTATAAACAGAATAATGCAGAAAATAAATTAAAATATTTGCTTGGCTAACGACTTAAATTATCTAGCCAAAATACACTAGGCACTGCCGGTAGCACTTGAAACCGTGTGGTATGTTTCAATTTCCTGTTTCCAAAATTTCCAAAATTTAATTTGCCATTTCGAAAATCAGTGTCGTAAATTAGTTATGTCTATAGGTATTTTATCTAAGATTCAGTTTTTTTAAAGTTTAAATTACCTTATTAGTGTTGTCATTGAAAAATCCTTTTGTCCTTGAAACTGGATCGCTTCACCAATCGTACTCAGTCCACGCCTTACAATATATTTAGACTAATTTGTAATTAAGTATGTTACTAAGTAATAAATAGGAAGACTAAATCAATATAAGAATAATATAAGAAGTCATGTACTTACTGCTATTTCGTCAACCAAAGTTTTTTTCATTGAATTTTAATCTGAACAATATATTCCATAGACAACATCAAATGCCCAACGAGGCACCTTCTAATTACAAGATAAACTGTCAAAATATGACACTCGTAAGTCAACTTTATTACTCAGAATGTCATAGGCAAATTAGACTCAAGGTCGAATTCTCGTAGTTCGGTCTCAATTCCGTTCCGATCAACTTTCGATCTCACAACAACTGTCATAAAAGGTATTTTCGTAGTAAAGTATTAAACATCCAATGTTGACAGTGATGTGATTATATCGTATTGTAACTGAAAATTGAATCGGTATTCTGCTAGTCTTAGTAATACTTTACTATTTTTCTACGAAAATACCTGTTATGACAGTTGCGAGATCGAGAGTTGATCGGAACTAAATTGTGACCGAACTTTTATTACGAGAATTAACCTTCTGGTGGTCTAGTCCCACTCAGGAATTAGACTATTTTTTTTATTTTGACCATGAATTTCAATAAAGCCTGTTAAATATTATCCCTCTATCATAGATTTTTTTGGCTATGGTAACCTGAGATACTCAATAAATATATAACCTTACCTTACCTTACCTTACCTTTTCAAATTGTTTAAGTTAGCATTATGACATATGTAAATATTAAATAAATAAATTATAGTTGTATTGGTAATTTTGTAAATGTGTCTCGTAATAAATAATAGAATATTTGGTGCAAAAAATACTAACAATTTATTTCAAAGTCCGTCCTAATTAAAAAAATGATTATCCGAGTACTAGGACCTATGGTACAATTTCAGTTGTTTCTATTACTTCTCCTTTAAAAAAATATTGGAAAAAAAAAGTATCATGAGCATCTGTTTTCGCCTCTATCTTTTTATCAGTATCTTTTTTTAACGTCAAAATGCTAGACGCGGTACATTTTTTATGAAATACTATTTCGTGTCGTCATACCTAGGTATTGTCAAATCATTTATATTTAATGTTGAAATCAAGATATCAAATCAATAAAAACATTAAATTGATAATAGAGGACAATTCAGGCTCTAATTTAATGATGCAGGGGAAATAAATTTATTTAAACATAGGAATCTATCCTATTAGGTACGGTAAATATTTTATTATAAATTTATATCTCGATTTTATATTACAAAACAACTCATTTCAAACCTAAAGTATTATAGTCGTACTTTGACAAATACGCCATCTTTGTTTTTTTAATCGGAACACAATAACCTCAATTTTTTTTTCCTTTTTTTTTATTGCCAATTTATTGTAATTTATAATTTGCACCAATATGTAAATAAATATAATGTACTATTAATAAGCGATCTCATTTAATTTAAGTATTATCAGGGAATAATTCAATATTGTCATGGAAACTTAATGTGGAATAAAAATATCGAAAATGTTTTAAGTTTTTTATTCATTCAAAATACTATTCAAAACGATTAGGGCTGCCTCCTTTTGAGGGAGAGAAACAGTATTTTTTTTAATCTAATATAAAAAATTCTCGTGTCACGGTATGCGTGGTATAACTCCTCCGAAACGGCTCTACCGATTTTCGTGAAATTTTGTGTGGTAGGTTTGAGAATCGGTCAACATCTATTTTTCATACACCTAATTTTTTTATTTTTTTTTGACAAAAAAATTTTGAAATATTGTTTATGGCAAAGCAACGTTTGCGGGGTCAGCTAGTTGTATATAAAAATAGACATTAAAACAATTTAAGAGTATTATTGACTGTTTAACAGTTACATTGAAGCTTAAAGGACCCATGTGCGTGTCCGTTTCTATTATGCTCTCGTAACTAATAAACGGATGAACCGATTGTGATGCATGATTCATATGGCTTGCACGAGTATTTATTACTATCAGAACTATTGAAAAAACAATTAAAACACCTGTGTTTAGTGGCATTAAAGGACATCTGTTGGTTGGTCCTGACATGTACAGCTATATGTTTTCTGGTTACTTGTGTCGGTAACAAATTGTCCCCCACAAATGACAACGTATTTGGTAATCGGTTTAATAGGTTAACACCTAGGAAACGAACTACAATTTAATTTCTAAAATGAGTTAACACGCTACGAGTGATATTCAGCCAACGGCCGAGTCTCCGCTTGCACACTTGTAAGTATAAAAAAATATGGAGAAATAGTAATAGTTGTAACCTTGGAAGAAGAAAATACACATCATCATCATCATACAGACATCATCATCATTGTCGAGAATCAAACCTAGATCCTCGACATCGCGGTGGGCCGGTGCTTACCAACCGGCTGAACCGCTAGCGAACGGCGTGCGGCGCAGGTGACGGGGAGGCAACGAGAAGCGGGGTTGCGGGCGCAACGGCTCCCACCAGGATTGCCATTACAGGCATTCGCATTATGGACTCGATCGGGATCACTGCGCTTTACAACGCACCCCTTGTAGACATTAAAACATAGCGCAAAATACAGTCTACTTTTATTTATCTACTAACACCGAGACCTTAACAATTATCATCAACAGCCATAAATAGTCCACTGCTGGACATACGCCTCTCCTTAGAAAAGAGGTTTTGGCCTACTATACCACGCTGGCCAGACGGGTGTGTCAAGTTTTCCGTTCTTTGCAGTGCTGTTGTCCTGCGTAATTTGCTCCTTTAGTCGGCTCTTACGTCACCTACTTGATGAATAGGGTTAGTGACTGTCCTTATTCTTACACACGGAAATTGGTGTCTACAGTCAACTGCAATCCTAAATACTCCTGCAGTGACTAAAAGACCATTTTATCGATATTTTAGAAACAACTTGTTTAAATAAACTGACCACTTATGACAATCGCTGCAAGTACGTAACACACTAAGATGCATATAATTATATCTACTAATATTATAAAGCTGATGAGTTTGTTTGATTAAACACGCTAATCTCAGGAACTACTGGTTCGAGTTGAAAAAATATTTTAGTATTAGATAGCCCATTTATCGAGTAAGTTTATAGGCTTTTTAACATCACGCTACCACCAACAAGTGCTGTCCAGCAATGAAAAGCGTTAAGGTTGTCGGAAGAGACCGCTGTGAGCGATAAGACTGCCGATTCTTACGTCTACTTCTTTGTAACTTATCTTTGTTATTTTCTTTTTGAGTGTACACAATAAAGATATAAATAAATAAAAGTATAGCAGAAACGTTGGAAATGTATTCCATAACTTTAATATAAGTTAGTTTTTATTTAAGTTTTTACTGACCTAAAGTTTTACTTAAAGTTCAATCTAAGAAGCAGCAGTAGCCTAGTTCAGCAATTTAGCTTAGCGGGAGGGGTTAACGGGTATACTAGTAATTTCAGTTACTAGTAGATCTTTAAAAAAAACTATCTTGTCATGATGTAGATTAAAAGTAATTTAAGATTGTCTTGGCGCCAGATGATCTCTAGTAGGTATTCATAAATATATCGCTCACCATCATCATCAGCCTATCACAGTCCACTGCTGGACATAGGCCGCTTCCATTGCACGTCACTTATATTATATCACCGAACGGAACATTTTAATGCTTTACATATTTTTTTTTAATTAATTGTATGTATCGTTATTATATGTTTTAATTGTTTGTTAATAAATTGATTATGAACATAACTCTATCATCAGGACTATCACAATCATGAACCATTGAAAGGATTCTCAGTATCCTCGACTTCCGGGTTACCAGTCAGAATCACTTGCAAGAAGCCAGTGTGGTTATTTAAATGTATTTAGTATATTAAAAAAGTGCATATAAGTACGTCTCATCTTCAACAGCCATTACAAGTCCACTGCTGGACATAGGCCTCTCCTTGGAAAGGAGGGTTTGGCCTACTATACCACGCTGACCAGACGGGTTGTATAGGGTTTGTTTCAAGTTTTCCTTCTCTCTGCAGTGCTGTTGTCCTGCGTAGTTTGTTGTAAGTGTAGGTAGGTAGGTCAACGAGACCCATTTAGACTCGTGTTAATAGATACCGAGATCCACCAAATATACAAAGAACTCTCTAGCAATTTGTGTACAAATCTATAACATAGTGCCTTATTGTAATAAGTGATTGAATACTAGATTATTTAAAATTAAGTAACAGGCTTCGTTGACAGATTTAACTAATACTATAGACTTTTATAGTATTAAGGAATTAAGTAAAAAAAGGACGAATGCTTCGGTGATGCAGTGGTTGCGTGTGCAACTGCTGTGCTGAGGTCCCGGGTTAATAGTTTTTTTTTTAACAAATTAAGGAATAATCTGTGGGTTAGTTAATCAAGTGAGCGACACTTCAGGCGACCTGTTGGCGGGCCTTTTTGTTGTCTAAGTCAAAATATCTTTATTTCATAAAATTCTT